ATTATTATTGTTAGTTGTTATTATTATGACATAGATATTATGTGTAGATTTGAATTGGAAATTCCAGAATGATTATCATACCAGATTCAAGAGTTTTTGAAACATTTCATATGTTTGTGTTATTAGACTGGTTAATTCTTCTGCCATGTAGTTTGATGAGTGGGTGAATCAAAAGAATTGATTAAAACAGGACTCTGACTTGATTCTAATCATTCACTATAATGAGTCATTCAATAAGAATGGATCATTCGCAAATGGCATGTCTATGGAATACACACTATGCCAGTACTAACCATTTGTATAATTCAATACATCTGAAACCTCATGCTCAAATTTCAGTGTTTGTTAAGTGTGATGTAAATAAATAGACTGTGATCAGCTTTTGCATTTTCAGCTTGAATTGCCTGTTACTACACAACATTGCTTATGGCTGGTGGCAGGTCTAAGTAAACATACACCATGTTGTAAGCATGGCAACATGGGGAGAGGAATTATGTAGGAGCCACACGAAAATCACAAAACACAATGAGTTTATTAAGAATAAAGCAAGAGCTTTGGAATCCTTTGACATATTTACTGCTGTGCTTAATCATGAATCTCATGCCAAGTCCATGTCAGTAATTAGGCCTAATGAAGAAGAACTGATAAGTCAAGTAGTGCTCATAGTAACATTAATAGTAGGACTAAGCCTACATGTGAATAGTTTACTTTTATGGACAAACAAATCAGATTTTCCATTTCCAGTCATATTGAATGCACATTGTTTTTATGATATATACATGAATATTTTAGCATGTGTAGGTTTAAAAAGAATCTGAACGTGAAAAGTTTAAGCTTTTGTCAAATGTATTTTGCACATAATGCTTCCAACTGAGAAAGTTTCTTTTTTTATGAATTTTAGTAGGTTGGTGCAAGATGTTTCCTCTCTGTTATGATTAATAAATCTAAGGTATTCACTTTGTTTGTAGGCCAACTTGACATGATACTTACATACTAGTTACAGACAATATTGATTGTGTGTAATAGGAATACCTGTTTTACCATAAATCTACATTATTATAAATGTTTAGAGAAATAATAAGAGCTTCTATATACAAATGTCTTAATTTGTAATTGGACTAAATTGTTATGATTTTGCTTAACATTTTTGAAATGAAGTTCTTCAAACTGAGCTTAAGACATGTCACTTCCAAATCTTGCAAGAATAGTCTTTTCATAACATTGATTGTATTTGATTCTTTCATTTGTCAAGTAACCCCTGCTGTCATTTTTATACATCTCATGACGACAACTACAAAAAAATTAAGTGTAATTTAATTTAACTAATTAACATGGACTTGCTTCCTTTTTACACTTGCATATTTACATCTGTTGGAAAAATGCTAATTGTATTATGTTGCAAAAAGAGGAAGAACTGGTATGAATGATGATTTGAATGGTAATTTTAGTGTTAATTAAATTTTTTAGACATTATAGTTTCAATTATTATTTTGTGTGTTTATTTGCTCTGTGTTGTCTTTGTGAATCCCAGTAGAATGGTCCTGGAAAATATTTGGAAAAGTTCTGGAATTTCATGTAATGGAAAGTGTATGAACCCTGACCTTGATTTCGCAGTCATTTTAACTTTATTTGCACAGGCAGGGTCAAAGTGCACTTGCCGCAACCTTTATATTGTATCTGTTACTTACTCTCCTTGAACACAAACTGTAGGTATGGATATTAGAGGTTCTAGTGTTTATGCAAATATAATATGTAAATTGTATGATTGAGTAAAGTATTTTCATTCTCCATGTGAAAATTACTCTGTACTCTGACTGTGTGAGTCCAAGTCAGACTGATTTCATCAATTCCCAGATACATCTTAATATAAGTTGTATGTGTATTTTTTATTCAGTATGTCTGACTTCGCATTCCCAGACATGTTAAAGGTCATATGTGCACCACTTTATATATTTAACATGAGTGTATTTTTCTCCGTAATAACATAGATAGTCTAGTGGGTAGCATTCCATGTTGCTGACTGAAAAGCCCAAGGTTTGAGTCATGATATGCTGCTGAACACGCTTCACAATTTTCCCCTGGGGGGGGGGGGTGCAACTGTACACAACATTCAGTTAAGAGTAACCATGTAGATGTTGGATGCTGTTGATTTGTTTTTCTTTCTCTCTCTCTCTCTCTCATCATCAGTTCAAAATTCCCTGAACCTTGTGGAAATGAAGTTAATCTGTTTATCGGGGGATTAATTGGTCTTGAAAATCACAGTACACTCTTTATACTAGTTGTACATACAACGAGCAGTACACTGAATAGCAGTTTTTTTTTTCCTCTGTTTTGTGTGCTGTGAAATCATGCATATTACCAATGTATAAAGGTTTGTGATGAAAATGTAACATAAGTACTAGTAGCACAATCTCAACTATACAGCTTCACTAGTTTGTGTAGGTGTGGTTGATATCTACCCAATTTGTACTGCTTTTAAAATATAGTATATATATAATGTCCACTCATGGATTATATTAAGTTATATGTGTAATCATAATCTGCTGAAGAGACACAACATATGTTCATTTACTTGGATTATGTCAAAGTTATGATATGTATAATCACAACATGTGTAAGTTACATTTCATATGATCTCCACTTTTGTAATAATGAAAGTCTTCCGGATATTTCTAAAAAATCCTGAAAACCTCCGGTTTTCTTCCGGAGAAACACATTTTTTAAAATTATTTATCAGATTTTGGTGTTCCATGCCATAGATAAGTGTTTATGCAATCGCCCGGTTTGTTTACATTCGGAGACAGGGCGCCGCCATTTTGTAGTCTCGCAATGCTTGCTGGCGTGTACGACACCTTGTATGCTTATAATGCAAACTTCATGTCATGTGAATGAGATTTTATTTGAAAACGTGCTTTAGAAAACGCGGTCATTCTTTTGTGTACCTTTCTATTGAGCGAGACAATTGAAGAGCCTTATCTATTCAAAGGTGTTTACCAAAGCGATAATAGATCAAATGAAATGTACAAACTAGTAGACAGGTCGGCGGATATCCGTAGCATAGAAGGAAAGGTAAAGAACAAGTTCAAATTGTCATGGCTGGAGGAAAAGGATGTAAATGGTGACTTTTTATCGGACTTTGTGAGGAAAGTGGACAGGCCAGGATATGCAGTATGCACGTGGTTAGTAAATTGCACTTTATAGATCTATTAAAGTTTATTATCATTTCTTGTATTGGAGTTTTAGAAAATCGTTAATAATTTCTTACTTATCATTCAATGACGTGACTGATCAAGACGGCAAATCAGTTAAAGCAGCTATCGATGTGCATGGGAATTAGCTCTGTTTATTGAGTCATAGTGAAGAATTTAAAATATATATTATCAACTAAGAACTCTCTGTAGTATCTTATGTGATTATATTTTGGATTTTCACTGTGACCATTGATAGGGGAATTTCGAGCAGGCAAGTGCCTATGGGGATATTCTGCCCAAATTTTCTTAAGATCAGGACTTAAGTTTTTTCACGGTTATATACACAGTGTGTGTATATATATAATGAGAAATAGGCAAATGGATTTTTGGACCTTTAGTTAGAGGATACAAATTTTACTTTTTGTTTTAACAGGTGCAATGAC